TACCTCTGTAAAGAATCTGTTAACTTTTCTGATTCCTCAATTGTCCTTCTCCTTCTCTGATGGAGCAAATGAGAAGGTTAAAAATCACTGTGGTATGTTATGGAAAACTCTCAGGATCAAAGTTCCAATTTCATTACATACCTTAGGCAGAAAATACATTCTCTTGAAATTTAAGGAGAAAAAAAATCACAGAAAGTCACTTCCAATCTATTTCCCAGTCTAAAATCAATACTGTCCTCTTGAAGGATATAAAGATTCACTAAAAGTGTAAGATTTGTTATTCCTATCTCAATATGAAACTTACATACCTCTTCCTCCACACTTTCACGCAGCACAGAAAATGGTACTGTCAACAACTGCAGTGAATTTCCTGTTCCTCTTCTAGAGAGTTTCTTTTTCAATCCCTAGATTGAGAGAGCAAAAGGTGTTCTTTCTGTTTAAAGGAAAAATAGCTTGTGATCCACTGGATATCAAGTTTCAGAATTGATCTTTATCACCTTCTCAGCCTTTTTAAAGTATCCACAAAGTTTCTTGTAAAAAAATTAATGACTGTGTATATGTATACCAGTCAAACTTTGCCTTACATTCATTCATGAATGTTAAAACTGTATAAACCAGTGTTTACCACAGAGTTCTTCATCACTTCAAGAAAAACAGGTAAAATAAATTTTCAATATAGTAGATGAATACTTTTACCAGTTGAATTTTCACAAATTCCAAGGGAGTATAGGCTGTTATAAGGGGTACCACACATGGTAAATTTTACCTGTTACTACCCAAAAAGGAGAACAATTTTAAGACTCGTTAGCCTTAAGTCTTGAGGATGTATGTTATGATCCAATAGAGAATACAGTCAAAAACTGGAATTCTTGTTTGCACAACTCACAAGGGCACTTAACAGCTGTAATAGTGCCACAAGAAATTAGAGCAATATGTAGCTAGAGGAGGACATTTTAGAGTGGCCACACATATTTAACTCAGACAGTTCTGGTCAAATGTACCTATCCAGGCCTTAATAGGGACTAGTATGTTTTACAGTTCAGCTGCACTGGGATGTGCAGTCATGCACACTAACCATAAAAGCACTACTAGTCTCCTATAGATGGCTTTTCAAAGCTTTAGGGGACATGCAACTCTTAGCAGATCCTGCTGTTGTTTTTTGTCTCTGGGATTCTACCATGTTTCCCCTAACATTTGTATCTCACCTATCACTACCTCTTAGGCACCTCTCAAAGGCTCACTTACCACTTTACGCTGTAACATCAGTTTTCTTTGTACTTCTCTATAAATTTTCTTTAGCATGGTCAATTAAACCCCTATCATCCAAGCTCATGGGAACTGGTCTGGATAATTGAGGGACTGGATAATTGAAAATATGAATATAAATGTTCCTAGAGAATGGGAACTGAGAGGCAAAGTTTGGATAATTGGTAACTCTGGATAATCGAGGTACAATAATCACAGTTTTGATTGTACTGACAAGGAAATTCATTCAACAATGAAAGCTTGTTAGGTTGGCAATTATTTCCTGTTTTCCCATGATCTTAACCAGCAGTATAACTGTTATTATTAAAAACTAGATCATTAAATAATGCAATTCAAGACTTTTTATTGGCTTAGCCATTATGGCATATCAGCCAATATACCAAAATCTACAGATATAGTAAGCATAAGTGTCACCTTAAAATTAAAAGGGAACTAAAAATTTAATAAAATTTAATAATTTAGTTCTGTCCCACTAGAAAGACTAAAATCCAGAGGTAGGCTGCCCAAACACTATCACCCGCTGTTGATTAGAGAAAAAATGTTACAATCTACTGTTTGCAGAATCCTTCCAAAGGACATTGCTCAATCTGTAAGTCCTTCAGGCTCGAGACTAGCACACCTATATGGGCTACCAAAAACCCATAAGGAGAAGTTAACCGTACATCCCATTCTATCAGCAATGAGCACCTATAACTACGTACTGGCCAAGTGGCTTGATGACAAGCTCAAACCGCTGTCTTTGAATCAACACACCATTACTAACATCTTTGATTTCATAAATGAAGTGCGAGAACTGAAAATCAACAAAGGTCATATCTTGGTATCGTATGACATGTCATCTCTATTTACCAATGTACCGTTAGACAAAACAATTGCGATTCTGACCGAGAAAGCCTTCAGGGACAACTGGTTTAACTCTACGTACAATCTGAATATCTCCAAAGAAGACCTTACTGATCTGTTGAACGTGTCCACCACGGGTCAGTTGTTCCAGTTCAGTGGTGCCCTATACGAACAAACTGATGGAGTGGCCATAGGGTCCCCACTCGGGCCTTTACTAGCTAACGTGTTTATGTCATTGTTGGAAGAAAGGCTCGTGCTCAAAGGTAAACTGCCTGATTATTATCGCAGATATGTTGATGACTCTCACTATAATGCCCAACATTACTACAGCTATGGATTTCCTACACACCCTGAACCACACCCATCCCTCTGTCAGCTTTACAATGGAAATCGAAAAAGATGGCATGCTCCCCTTTCTTGGCACCCAGCTCCTAAACCGTGCACCCCAAATTGAGACGAAAGTTTATGTCAAGTCTACTAATACTGGTTTACTTGTCCACTACCAGAGTTACGTTGACAAC